GAGAGAGAGAGAGAGAGTGAGAGAGAGAATTAAAAAGTACAGTATATATATTATATTCATTTGTATTAACTCTTTTCCTACCCGGCCATAATCCACCACTGGCCCAGGGCTTTTCCCGGACCTATTTATTTTATGCCCCTACCCCACCAAAGGAAAATGTCAAAACATCCAACTAAACACACACAAACCATGTCTTATGGCCCATCAAATTGAAGGTTAAAAAATAATCTATTAGATGGTGATACAATATTGAAGATTTAGTCCAATTATATTACTTTGGGGTTTCTAAAAGTGATTTTGCAGTATCGAAGGTGTCATATGAAATCAACAATTTTCCAGCTTTGAGGGGTCATATCTAAAAAAGTACAACAGCATCATTCAAACTTCTCAGGTAGGTTGCCTCAAGTAATGCAAAAAAATACTGAAAGTTATGTATGTGGAGAAGTGAAAATATGAGACATATTCATACTGAAGTCAGGGGAATGCTTTTTTTTCTCTTTTTTACGCTTCGAAGGGGACAAAAAAAGCGCCTTGAAATGACTAAAAATCGTCTCTCAGTGCTATATTTCTTTCGTATCTGCTAACAAGAAGTCTATTCTATTATATTGAAAACGTGAATTGGCCGAGAATTTCGTGTCTTTTCATTACTGGATTGGAATAGATAGCGAGCCACTCGAGCCGTATATTGCGGCTCTCGGTCCAGCGAGGCCATGTCCGCGAGCCGCAAAATGCAGCTCGTGGTAGGGAAAGTGTTATTCGAGAAAGGTAAAAGTAAAAGAGAAAAACTCGGATTCTATACATAGAGATGTTTAAAATAAAAAAAACTCACCCAGCATACAAACAAAAACAAAAAAGAAAAACCTACAAGCTTTGTGGCAATCATTTACGAATCAGGCTCATCTAAAATTAAAGACCAGTAAATAATTCCACAATGTTCCAAAGAAAATCATGAACAAGTTAAATACAGGAAAAACACCTGCCTTACGTCAAACAATTACCAATCAAACCAGTTTTTAAGTTAAGACCACCAAGTAATTTTTCCCATCTTTATATTTAAATCTCACAACAAAACATAACGGAGGTAAATATTTTCCTCTTAACCCTCCCAACCCCAGCCATTTTTGTGCACTCGCTAACCCCAGTCCCAGCCAATACAGCAGTATTGCAGAGAAAGAGGCATTGTAATGAGGTTTAGATAATAACATAATATAACAATCTTTAAAAGTAAATGAACAAATATGAAAATTAACGTTTAATTAGGTTTGCTAATTTCGAGAAATGAGCGAATTCGGTACCCCCCAAACTGAGAATATATGCTCTTGGTACGATGGGAGGTACAAACCCTGCTGAAAATATACATGCATGGGGCTGGAAGGGTTAAAGAAAAAAAAGATTCCCTTCCTAGATAGTCAGAAAAGTAAACTAACCATCAGATCCAATAAATTCTATTGAAATGTCTCTTGGCCTTCGCTGTCCCTGACACAGAAGATTATCACACTGCTTGTTTTCCGCTTCCACAACAACCAGCGACTCTTCTTCGTCTGCACAGTGCGGCACGATATCAAATTCACTGTGGTGACCTGAAAAGTGCCGACGTCGGTCTCCTTTAGCTCCTTCTATGTGCGAAGAGCTTGGCTGGCTCGGATGGTGCCCGCCTGAGCGAGCGACAGATGCGTATGTTCTTGATGTACCTGGATCTCTCTTTGCTGTGGACCACACAGAGTTAGAGGCATAAATGGTCGCTTTTAAGCACAAGGGGGATATACCAAAAAATGCTGTTTTGAGATAATCGAAGGAAATGTTTTTGGACCATTGTTCAGTTTCTTTAATAGACAAGGAAAGTTTTCTCTACAACCAAACAAATATACACACGAATGAAACCAAATTTCTCTCATGGGTAGAGCAATGCCCACTTTTGGTGTAGGTCAAGATTTCTGGACACCCCCGAACTCTGGGTTGGCCTGCTTGTCCTTAAAAGCGACCAAATTTGATTGGTAGTGGTGGCGGTGGGTTATTTTGGAGTTTTTTACTTTATTTCTCCATTTTCCCTTCTTTCACGGAAGGCGGGAGTTGCTCTTGATTTACAGACAACTAACAGAACAGAATTATACTTATTGCCCTATTCCAATTGTTTTAGATTTATTCAAAGCAGACATCTAAACTGTTTGAAGAAAATGTTCTGTTTTGTGAAATATGTATGTATGTGTGCGTGTGTGTGTGTGTGTGAGTATGTGTGTGTGTGTGTGTGAGTGTGTGTGTGTGTGTGTGAGTGTGTGTGTGTGTGTGTGTATGTGTGTGTGTGTGTGAGTGTGCGTGTGTGTATGCGTGTGTGTGTGTGTGTGTGTGTGTGTGTATGTGTGTGTGTGTGTGTGAGTGTGTGTGCGCATCTGAGAATGAGAGCATATGTTAATTCTAGACAACAATGCTGCTGATTTTCACTGCAGATTTAGAATATATATGCTCACCAGTATAAGTCTGAAAGTATTTCAACTGTGGAGCCTCGTGGGCTAGTTCAAGGCGTAAGGTGATGAGAGAAATCAACATTTGTCCTGGAAAAGAAAACAGAAAAAAAAAGAAAAAGATATACAGTAAAACCTCAGTATAATGTTGAACATCTTAGCTGTGGTAGGTATTAGCTGAAAAAAAAATGGCAGCAATAAAGGGGGGTTACAAAGTTGTGAGTAGTATATTATGTAAGGCAGCATGGTGAAATCAGGCGCTCGTCAAAATAATGAAAGTGAAGAAAATGGCATTTTCCCGCAGGTTTGGGCATTTTTACCGAATTTTTGTTTTTTGGCTCAACACCTTTAAAGAACACATTTCTGTGCGGGTTTTACTGAAAAATGTTGATTAAAGACATAAAAGATGTACATTTTCAGTTTCCACGGACTCTCAAGCTAAAGAAATAACGCCATTTTCTCATTAATTTTTCTCTGAAATCAGGCGACGCCCACCTCCTTCAATCGCCAATGTCTTGAGTTGTATCCAGGATAAATAGATATTTTTTACATCAAAAGCAAGGCAAACGGACAGGCTTTAAGATGATACCAATAACCCCATAATGCCCCATATGCCTCAAAATTGACGAGCGCCTGATTCCATCGTGTTGTGACACATATGTATTCACTTTATAAATCACCTCAAGCTTGTGTGTGTGAAGTAGAGAGTGAGAGGGAAGAGGAGGAGGGTCATGAAAATGTCCACTGGCAGCAAAGCTAACTAGAAAAAATTAAGTTCATGCAAGTGCGGTCAGTAGATAAATTTGGTTTTGTTAAAATTTCTTTATATTCATGAATGTAGGGCAGGGTAGGTGAGACGATAGGACATTCTATGCACACATGTAAAACACGCCTTGACCAGAGAGAGTCAAACAAGAGCAGGCCTCAACCGGCCAAGAATGTTGTAACGTGAAATTCTATTATGCTGCGGCTGTGAAAAAAAAAATCTGAACATGAACGGAAGAACAAAAACATAAAATAAAATCACAATGACCCTTGGCTTAGCTGTGAACCCTCTGTACCCACATTCATACCCCACTATAAAACAAACCATAAGTATCAGAATATAAAAGAAAATTAGCTTAGCAAGTGAAATTCAAATGTGCATATAAATCAGTCTTTTCTGCAGTTTCACATCGATAGCAGAAGTTGTTTGAAATTAAAAAATGATCAGAAAGAGCATATTTTGTTTTTCCACATGAACTAAATCTAGTTCTAGACATCTACAATTTAATTCTACACTATAGCCTAGTATCTAACTTCAGCTAGGTGTATGGGACCACACTCAGACTACCAGGCAAGTTTTTCCCACCACGGAATGCCCAGACAATAGAACCCGATTCCATTTTTCTACACACAGCAATTACAAAAGACTATGCGCAGTATAGAACCAACAGTTTCCAACTACCACGGGAGTCAGACGTCCCATCTAGCAATCTTGCTGCAACGGGATAAGTTTATGTTCGCCACAACGCGCAGAGAAAACCACTTCAGAGACCGTATGATGGTCCATTTAATTAAGATCTTGAATACCCATGACAAATATTTCACTCTGAATTTGAAAGGACGCAAAGAAAAAGTATCAGTTGATCGTTTGAAACCAGCATACATGTCAAAAGCCGACACTCAACTTGGAAAAGTTTTTGAACACCCTGACGCATCCACCCACCAGTCCACACGGACAGGACGTAAAATCCGGCCTCCTGAGAGGTTGGACCTGTAGGAATAAACAATTATTTCGTGCATAGTGCATCATACTATCTGCACTGTGCACAGCACTGGGAGGGGGGTAATGTAGGGCCAATATTTTAGCCTTTCACGTCCCCAAAACCTGACTATTTTTGGGGGCGATTTTCTGGCCAATTGGTTGTGCACAGGTAGCTGTTTTTCCCCGTGCACTGATGAGTACAAACAACATCAACTGGAGACTAAAAACTCAACGTGAGAAGAGAGAGCGTCAGTCCTAGCAGTAACAGAGACAACAAGACACAGCAGTCGCCGGATGCCTGGGGACCCATGAGATCTACACCGTTGGAAGTAAAAGGTAACATAAGATAAAACTACAATACCTGTGTGAACAAACGTTCCAACGCTCTTGTGTTGAAAGCGTGAAATTTTGTCAGCGAGCAGTAAGTGTGTGAGAGTGAGAGAGAGAGAGAGAGACAAAGAGAGACAGAGAGACAGAGAGACAGAGAGAGAGAGGAGTAGTGAGATCTTCTGGGGAAAACAAAAAGGCGCATGGCATACTTTGGCTCAATTCGAAAAATGCAATTATTGTAGCATACTGGTAGACAACCACATAAGTTACACTCCTGAGCTAGGCCTGTAGACTGTAGACTGTAGATCTAGAATCTAACTAGATCTATTTCCTCAATTTTTCCTTTGTTTGCGTCAATTTGATCATCCACACCGATAGCCGATAGACAGTCCGTATTCAGAAATTTGAGGAAAAACAGGACTCGTTTCACACCCGGAGAAAATAGCCAACGTTGGCAAGTCTCACCCGCGGTGAGAGGCTGAGAGGTCGATCATATTTTAATCGAATTCTCACTCGAGGTGTATACAGACCCGGTAACCGGGAACAAAGTCACAAAGTATACAGACCCGCTAAAGGAACTCTTTTGTGATTTCGGAGAGTTTCCAGCGCCCTCTTGACTCAGGGTAGACCTAGGTTCTTCTAGATCTATGGTCTAGATCTAGATCTAGGCAGACAAACTAGATCTAGATCTAAATGAAGATTGCGGATGGATATGTCTTTTCGATGAACAATCGTTTTTCCTCCGTTTTGGAGTTGGAGGAATCACAATTTGAAGAAAAGAACAAGTTACAATGTCATAATTTCAATCGAGCAGCCC